TGGGCTCTCAGGTAGCAATTTATGTGCGTGTGGCAGTGGTTATCATGATATCGAGCATGTTTTTTGGTCATGTACCCTACACCGTGTTGTCAGATCTGAGTTATCCACATCCCTCAGGGCCCGAGGACAAGTGGTTTGCTGGTGAGCGAGCCTTCATCGTGGCGCCGGTTTAATGGCGGTTGACGCATAAGATCGCCGGAACTCAAGTGTGTTGGAGTGGTCAATGCGATTCGTTTCGACAGCTGAGCGATCTGCTGTCCTTGCTTAGTCATTTCCTTCCTAAGCTCAGCGTGTGCGATTTCCTGTTTCTCGGTGATAGAATTAATCGCACTACCAAACGACAAAACAGCAGTTTTGAACCGGGCACATTTCATCAGCTTCGCGCACTCGTTGCACATCCAAAAAAAAAGTTCAGATATTCAGAAAAGCCTTGTTCAACTTTGTGTCGACGCATTTCAGGTGAATCATCCTGTCGCAAAAAGCCATGCAGGAGACGGATTCTTCATCGCCTTTTACTGGTTTAGTGCATTGGTCACAGGCGGATGTCATGCTGACTCAGTTTCCAACTCTAATTTAGAAACAGCGATGGAGATGCTCTAATACGCAAGGAGGAGTTGGATTCTGCAGAGCGTCTGATATCGACAATAACACAACAGTAAACACTATAAAATGTCCGATTAGATAACTTTTTCACTGTTTTCATAGCACGGAATATGCTCCAAATAAACGATTATTGCAACAAACTTTTCTTTCCACTAACAATCGGTAAAATTTTGCAAGCGTACAGAACGGGAAAACGAAGAACGAAGAGTGATAAAAAATCATCAAATTTAACAGCGCAAAATCACGACGATGTGAATAACAACAACGATTGTCGACCCTGTGTATGCTTTACTAACTACAGTTCCCCCATTGACTATGATCTCCCCATGAAACAGGCTATTAAAGGAGTTCCTGATCAACTTCGACGTATCTTAATGCCCCGTATTTTTGCTGAAAAGTACCAACAAGTCAATTGCAATAGAAGATTTTTCACTGATGGATCACGCATTGGTGGATCCACTGGCTTCGGCGTCTTCAATGAATACTCAACCGCCTTTCGGAAACTTCAGGGACCTTGTTCCGTTTATGTTGCTGAGTTAGCAGCAATCAACTTCGCATTGGGGATGATTTCCTACATGCCCATAGACCAATACTTCATCTTCTCGGATAGTCTCAGTTCGATTGAGGCTATTCAGTCGATGAAACAAGGTAGGCACTCATCTTATTTCCTTTCAAAGGTAAGGGAGCAGATGAGTTTGCTAGTCGAAAGATCATATAGGATTACCTTTGTATGGGTCCCCTCACATTGCTCAATCCCAGGCAATGAGAAGACAGACTCTCTCGCAAAGGTGGGCGCACAACAAGGCGAGATTTATGATAGAAGAATTTTCCCCATTAGTACGTCAGAGTTCTCTTCTAAGTTGGCAAAACAATTGGACAAGTAATTCTCTTGCGCGGTGGTTACATTTTATTACTGCAAATGTTTCTTCGAGAGCGTGGTTCAAAGGTCTGGATGTAAGTCGGGGATTCATTCGCGTGATGTCAAGACTTATGTCCAACCACTACTTGCTATACGCACATCTCTACAGAATAAACCTAGTTGACAGCAATATATGTAGGTGCAGAACCGGTTATGATGACATCGATCACGCAGTTTGGTATTGGTCGGGTAATGACGCCTCCAGAGCACGACTGTTGGATACGCTAGTGGCCCGAGGTAGACAACCCTTCCGTGAAGTAAGAGATGTATTGGGAACCCGTGATCTTCCATACATGCAGGCGATCTACGAATTCCTTTGTTTGTCTGATGCTAGAGTTTCATTCCCTCCAAACAATTTCCAGCCATTGTGTCCCAGTCTTATTATCTTCCTGTTTCTGTGCTACTTGCCCCTGCCCAGCCAGGATTTGGTCAACCGTCCGAGATTAGTATTTGAAGGAGGCTCCAGAAACCAGTTTCCTACCTAGCTCTTTCCAATCGAAATTGCTACCCATTAACCTCGAGCCCGCTACGAGTAATTGGTACCCAACACTAACCTAGAACTACTGCTGTTTAAAATGTAAATCAAACATTACTGATTATTGGCTCCGCAAAGTGTCACACAAGACTGAGCCTAGTAAACAAACGAACTAGTAAAAAAAAACTAGAAGTATTCAGAAAAAATCATCATCTTCTCTTAAAGCTGAGTTTAGACAAGGCAATTCAATTGATCAACTCAGTTGAAACTATGCCATTCAACTGACTTGATCAACTCATTCGACACAGGCTCAACTCTGCAATTGAATTCAACTGTGTTGATCAATGAATTTCCTGGTCTAAACACAGCTTAAGTCTGTCGTTACCATTCTTGCATTTACTGAAAGACGTTCCAATGCGCTCAAGGGATTGGTTTTTGTTGGACACAACTGGTTCGACTAGACGCACCTATCTACTCGAAGGTTAAATTTTGTCATACGCAATTAGGTGGTGTAACATCTATTAAGAGACGCACATACCCATTAGCAGCTTAAATTTTGCAACAACTAACAGCGTTCTAGCGTCTACGGAAATTGAATTTTATCTCAGTTCAACTCAATGGGAGCTGAATTTATAATAGGCTCAAAATCACAACACCAAGTTCGCAACTTTATTTAAAATTTGAAACGAAAAACCATCCTCAAACTAGACCGAGTTGTTTTAAACTAGCGAAGTCAGTCATACTCAATAATAAGTTTCTGTTATAAAGAAATTATCTCTGAATTTGAATTAAATTCCCTGATTTTCCAAGTAGTCGACACTCTGCCAGGCCTCTTCAAATTGAGATGAGAGGGCTGCATCGATTTTTGTTTATAGTGCTTGTTTTCTTGTGAACTAAGGAGCTTGGTGACTTGGTAGCGACCGTTTTTGCTTACTGAGCAGCAGATCATGGATTCAATTCCAGGTTTCTTCGTATTCTTGAGTTGTTAGTGTCACGAATACGATGCAAACAAATTATCTCGATCTGAGGGAATGTCCAACCAACCCGAGCGTCAGTCCACCATGGAAGAGCGACTCAAACAGCGTCTGACTGTCACCCAGCGGCTAAAAATTGCTTCAGAAACCAACAACGAAAAACAGCGAACCGATTTAACGGCAATTTCACCATCCACATCTGAATGTTAGTTAATAAGGATTAAGTACGCAGAGGACACCAAGGCGATACAACGTCAGCCGCCGCCGGTGGTGTAGTGGTAAGCGTGACTGCTTTATCACTCCAATGGGTCTGAGTTCAATCCCTGCCAAGGTCGGCGGGATTTTTCTGAGGCATAAAAATCTCTACACGGCCAATGTAAACGACCCACATTTGAGTTTAGTTTACCTTTAATAGCTAAACCTGCACGAACTCAGCGATGAGTAAATTTGTCTCATGTTTTACAGTGGAAAGCCTAAAAAATCTTCCGAAAAAGGAAAATTAGTACTAATAGACTGAGTGAATCCAATCTTAACTTTTCTCATATTCGGGATTTTTTTCCTGGACAAACCTGGACTAGTGGATTTATGAGTAAACTAAACTCAAATTTGGGTCGTTCTCATTGGCCGTGTGATCACGCGTCTTCCTTCGGAAGGGAAGTAAAGCCCTTGATCCCATGTGTATCGATGGGTGCGATATACTACGCAGGTGTGGAAGAAGCCTCCCTGCACATTCGATTGCCGTCAATGGATGGCAATCGATGTCCGTCGGTGATTGATTGGCACTAGATTGAGGAACAGAAACCGACGTTAAATAAAGGAATTATAAAGAAGAAGCATATAACGTTAAAGCGCACTTTTCTTAGCGATTCCGCACTTTTGCGGAAACCAGTTTCAAATCCAAAATATTAGCTACAAATTTTCCAGGGTTCTAAGTTATTAAGTTCTGCTGAACTCCCCTTTAAGTTCCCCGTGAAATCTTTCTAAAAACTTCCCTGATCAACCTCAAATTCCTCTCTTCTTATTCAATATAGATGCCTTATACCCATCAAGATAAAATTTGACACAGCTAGCCCATCTCATCAAACAACGCCGGTCAAAAGAATGTAAACAAAACTGTAACCGATGACGATCGCTGTAAATAACAAGCGCTTCCTCACGAATACCAGTTTGCCTACTAGTGGACCGATTAAACTTGCTTATTGGTGCAAGTGGAGGACAAGTCGTAGGGGTGCGTACATACGTACGCACATACTGCACTTGCATCGGTCAACAAAGCAGCTGTTCTGCCTTCTGCTGCTCTCTCATACAAGGCAACAGTACAAGGTGATAAAACACGAAGCGACAGAGGGGGTTGCCTGGTCGAGCAAATTTATCGCGAACAAGCTATGATTCATCACAGGCATATTGATTACGCGCACGGGGCTTCGTTGTGAGAGTGTGTCACTCTGTCAAGAGCAATCAAACTAGCAAAGGAATATTTAGACAAAGCTAGTTTAAGTTTTCCCCAAAAACAAAAAAATAATTATCTTTTCACGATTTTCACCTTCTCTTCTTCGATTCCATCACATCGAATAGAAGATAGATGGAATGCCAACGAAAGAGAGAGAGAGAGAGAAATTGAATTAAATTGTGATCGCGAATCTCTTTTGGATATGTACCGATATGTGGGGTGCTGGTGCTCGGCTGCCTGGTATGCAGCTTGGCAATAGCAAAAATGGCATGGGTGGGAATTAATTATGCAAAAGTGAAGCAGTGTACTTCTTGTCTTTCCTATTCAGGTTGCATTCGGTGGCCGAGTTGCCACCTTCGACGAATATCAGATTTACCATCCGGCTACGACGACGACGATGGAATGTTTTGGTTTCATCATCATCATAAACTTGGCAACAATGACCATTGCACCTCTTCCTTGCTGCAAATGACATATGGTGCACAATTTTCATCTGTCTCGCAGAATGCAATTTAGATTTCCACCCCCATCATTCCCCATACAACTGCTGCAGGTTGTTGATTCGTCATCTCCACTTACCAGAGGTTCTCTTTCGGATCGATATCCTTCTTTCGGGGCGTCGTTGTGGTTATTCCATTGACTTGCGACGTCGTCGACGTGATGATGTCCATTGTATTTCGGGCGAAAATTCTTTTTACACCAACGAGCAGCAGTCCTGCCGCCTAGGATCCGTTCGTGGAGATTCCAAACTTCCGAAATGCAATATTGTATCCGCGGGGGGAAGACAGGAAGAAAAAGAAGCCCACACCGAAACAGGCCAACACAAGCGGGAGGAAAAGGCAGCGAAGAATCGCTGCTGACGCACCACACACAGTGGGACTCTGCTCACTTTTTTTTTCTTCTCCTTGCTTTTTCACTGCTTTATTCGCGTTTCACACACTGTGTTCCACCACCGCGAGAAAGACTCCCAAAAAGCCCCGTCCGTCCTGCCGCCCGTGTCCGACGACGACGACGATCGGAGATGGATGATGCACACACACTCGACGAGGGGACGTGGGCACGCGAGACGAAAGTGGAAAGGTGGAGGCTGAGGAGCGGTTTTTCTTCGCGTTTTCACTGCACTCTCCAAAAAAAAAAAGAAAAGACTTGGAAGCAGCCCCAAACCCAACACTTCCGGAGGAACGAACTACTGCCCGAAACCGATACGCGCTGGAGCGGACACACGGTGCTCCAACGGGATTGCCAGTACGCGGAGGAACGAAAGCGATTCCAGCTCGTCGGATTAAAACATTTTTCACGAACCGACCCGTTTCACTACTGTTCTTTTTTCGTCTCTCACCAGTGGTAGAGGAGGTTTTTTTTCACACACCTTTCGACGTCGTCGCGATTTTCTTCTTTATATTTTTTTTCGGGCCAAGCACGTCACAAGTTGTCAGTTTGTACTAAAAACGTAAGATGGCGTCCAGTGCAGGAGTGTCAGTTTAGTGATGTTCAACTTTCGGTACTAAATTCGGGGGGTCCACGCAAAAGTTTTAGGGCTGCAGATGCACGGAAAAGATTAAGAAAAATGAATATATATTATTATATATCGACAGTGAGCATGCATAAGGGCGAATACGCGATGATCGATTCTCTTCATCGATTTTCTCTTTCCATTGCTACAGCTAAGCGAAACAATTTTCTAGAATTTGTTCAATGCAGAGTAGTAACAGTTTGTATTGGCTATCAAAAGCAACAGCAAACGCACCGAGAAACGTTAAATCTAGCGAAATATTAACAAAAGAGAAAATCGACGAAGAGAATCGATCATCGCGTATAGGCACTTATGCATGCTCACTGTCGATATAATTATTCTTAAACGATATTAAAATACAACAAATACAATTTTGTTCATTAAAATAAAAAATATAAATGTTCATTCCAGAAACAAAGTAAACTAAAAACATGTTTTCATCATAAATATTTGTTTTAAATAAATTCAAAAGCATATGTTTGTTGCAACAAAATAGAATTTGGATGAACGATTTTTAGCGTGTCCTGCACTGAAAAAAAGTTTTCATGTAGCTTCCATTCAAAACGCACATGATTTTCATCCGTAATCAAAATTAATGGAATACATCTGAATTTCACATAACATTTATGCGATCACATTAATTTTATGTGATTTTTCATATGAATTTCATCGGCCTCATAATATTCATCTGATTTTGTGGTAGGATTTGCTGCTATGTGATCACAGGAAAGCTATGTGAATTTCACATGGATTTCATTGATTAGATAATATCTAATGAATGAAATCCATGTGAAATTCACATAGCTATGTGATAAATTTTTTGAATGTGTACTGCCTTCATGTACACTAAAAAAAATACACACATTTTTACTAACGAATTTCCATGTGAAATTCCGACACGGATAGAAACCTCCTTATACCTTTTGGCAAATTTCTATTGCTGATTATTCATAAAATGCTCGATAAAATATATGTCAACTAATAAACAGAGTTTGCCGGCGCCGGTGGTGTAGTGGTAAGCGTGACTGCTTTCTAACACTCCAATGGGTCTGGGTTCAATCCCAGCCGAGGTCGGTGGGATTTTTCTGAGGCATAAAAATCTCTGGTCACGTCTTCCTTCGGAAGGGAAGTAAAGCCGTTGGTCCCGGCCCATACGTGTTGTGAATGGGTGCGATATCATACGCAGGTGTGGAAGCTGCCTTCCTGCACATTCGATTGTCGTCAATGGATGGCAATCGATGTCCGTCGGTGATTGGCACTAGATTGCGGAACAGAGACCGACGTTAAATAAAGGAAAAAAAAAATAATAAACAGATGCCTTGCAAAAAGTTAATGAAGATCATGTGTCAAATGAAATGTATAAGCGGTCACACATACCTTTTATACATTCTTATAGGACCTATGTGGTTTGTCTTATGGAATGTATAAGACTGATGTTTTGGCAAAAATGTATATGTGAAACACATGAAAAAATAAATGAATTTCGATTCGTGCAAGGGGTATTCAACTCTGCACACCTTAATCCGTGCCGAGTGATTGAGCAGTGCAAAAAAGCTGTAGCCAGTGTTATGCCGAACGTGGTTTCAATCAAAGTGTGCCTATCAATGTGTCAATATTCCATGAGATTGGCAACCCCGAGAGTTATGACTTTTTTTTATTATGTTTACATTTTCAATTTATCAGATGGATCAAGGCAAGCATTCAGCTTTCCTTTAATATAATTTCAGTATTAAGCCGATGATTGTAATATAAAAATAAATCTGGTTTCGTCCTCAGTCAAACTACTTCTGATCGGTTTATTTCACATATTCTTTTATATCACTTCACTTGAGTCGGGACCCGAGCTATACCCAACAAACAATTGCCTATTGAAGAAACGACTTCTTGACGATTTTATTCTACTTCATGCTTAATAATACTTGTACCATAGAGGTAACTCTAAGACCACTGGGTCCCGAAGAAAATCATTATTATTTTTGGCTCACTCAGTACCAGAACAACGGTCCCAAGCAGTCCCAAGCTATTTCACTCACCCCTGCATGTTCTGCATGAATCCACACACCCCTGATGTTATCTGTCAAACTTTCATAGCGAATCAAAACAAACATAGTGTAGTAATAGAATTTCAACTAGAATAGGGTACGTTAATCGTTTGCTTGGGACCAATAGGCTACTAAAGTGGTGAGCCAATTTAAAATCGTTAGTTTCGTATTGATTGTTGGTAATAGGGTTGGGTTTGCAGCAGGGTTCGTTTTGGTAAACGATAAGCTGAATTGATGTCCTAACAATCATATAACGCAAATGAGCTTGGGATTGAACCTACGGTCTTCTGCTCAATAAGCAAAAACTAACCATACATTTTTAATATGAAAGGATCTGGGACCGCGTTTTTCTGCTCAGTAAGCAAGCCACTGCAACCGACGATCTTTGAAATCCTTAAACTAAAAGCTCTGAAAGAGGCCTTCATTAAGATCCATTTTCACGCGACGTTAAATGTTTCGATTTTCTCTTTACGCATGGTTCAGGTAATCATAACAAGCTATGACCGACGTGACGATTGTTTAAGACCTGGTTGAACAAGCTATTCAAATGAAATTACGTTGTCGAATTTTACTTGGCATGTAATGAACAACAGAAATACGCGATAGTTCATATTTTCAGCGGTTGGTGGTTAATTTTAAATATACTAACGGTACTGCCTACGACTACGACGGCGATTACGACAGCGACTACGACGGCGCCTACGACAACGACAACAGCGAATTTGTAACTTACCATTTGTCTAGGATAAACACCTTTGCCCGGCACCTCCACTGGTTCTTCATGTCCGCTATCTGTCACTGTTTGCAAAATATCTAATAGCAATTACCTTCCAATACCAATACTTCCTGTATTGCCATGGTCATCTGGGAGGAGGGTCACATCTAGTGCTTTCCCTAGGAACCGTTCACGGTCACCAGCTACTGCCCGTCCAGTCTTGGGCGTATCCAGCGAGGCATCCTTCAGATTACTTACAATCTCCGAAACTCAATGCAAATCGCAGACACACTTACGCTAGTTACAAAAAAAACACTAACACTAACTGACAGCAGGGTGCCTTCCATTCATTTTGGCTAAAAAACTGTTTTATTAAATTATAGAATAATAAGATAATATGATGATATTTTGTATGTGTAAGTAACAGGAAAAGATTGTAATGTTTGTGTTTGACGCATAAAACCTGCAAATTTAGCTTTGGCAGAGTCACAATGAGCGATTTTCCAATCGCCTCTTCGCGAAGAGTGAAGAGCGAAGAGTGGGTGAGATAAATGACAAAATCGCTTATTGCGACACTCGTGTAGCAAAATTGGCAGGTATTATGTGTCAAACACAAACTTCACAGTCTTTTATTGTTGCTTACACAAACAAAATATTACTATAATAGCTTATTATTCCATAATTCAATAAAACATTTTTTTAACCTAAAATGAATGGAAGGCTGTTCGTTTGGCTACATTATACTTTTCCTCCGCTTATCTATGGAATCTATAGTATTTATCTATATCTCGATCAATACTGCGAACGTGTATAAACTGATGTTCATTATCTCCAGGTTTGGTTTTGATTTTCATGATCACGGGATCCAACTAGTTTGCACCATAGGTAGCTTTTGACCAACCGTCGGTCGCTGGAGCTACCTCCAGTTTCAGCCGTCTTGACTGCCGTATTGACAAGACCTTCTCGACCACACCATGGTGTGGATGAACTTGATGGAAGTCAATCACGAGCCGCTGGGATTTTTGCGGTGAATCGGATGAGACGGACTGAGTTTTGCTACATTTAAAGAGATTCACAGTTCAGAGAATACTTGCAGATTTTTTTGGAGCGATCCTCGCAACCGGTGTGTCGTTCTCAAATTCTTGATTGAATCGTTGTTTTACCAGTTTTATATATGACAACAAATACTCTCAGTAGCTTCACTTTTGAGTAAACAAAGCATTCAACCGAGTAGTCAACCTGAGCAACTATTGGCAAAATGTCAACACTCGTTTGTGTCCTACTAGTCAAAGTGTGCCCTATCGTGCCGAAAAGTGTGCCGTGCTTTGTTTTGGCACAGGGTGCAGAGTTGATTGCAGATTGGAAATTCCACATAATTTTTATGTGACCACACATATACAAAATCCACTCAGAAGCACACATGAAATTTATGAGTCAAATGAATAGTACGCGAGCTCCAACCGGTATTATGGTATTATCCTCGGATTTAATAACGATCAAGAATATTCGTCCGATTTGATGTCGACATCAGAGTTAATCAACACGAGCCTACACGAAACGAAAATTAATTATTTTATTAATGTTTTTCTCTTATACATTTTTGACAAAACATCTGCCTTATACATTCCATAGGACAAACCACATACGTCCTATAAGAACACATACACGTTATACGTTTCATTTAACACATGATCTTCATTAACTTTTTGCAAAGCGTCTGCTTATTAGTTGACTTATACATTTTATGAATAATCAGCAATGGAAGTTTGCCAAAAGGTATAAGGGGATTTCTATACATGTAAGCAAACATTTCATACTCATACTAATGGGACGGCAAGGGGTAGGTCACTCCGCACACCAATTTTGGGTCATCTTTTTTGTCAGTGTGCCGCAAGTATGCTGATTGTGCCGGTCATAGATCAAGCTGCGATTATTTGTAAAATATCCATCCCGGCAACCCGGTATTTCTGACACCTTGAATGTTTTGGTTTGAAATCGCAAGGATAAATCGGATTGATGATGACGCGGGAAGTGGCGAATGTGCGATATTTTGGTGTTTTGTGATCCATAGGGTAATAAATGTCCTGTGTTTTAGTGTTTTATAATGCCCTCAAAGGCAGACCAGAAACCTAGCCTTTTGGCTGGAAAGAGTTGGAACCGGTGGGGAGTATTGTTGGAGACCGACTATAGAGGGTAATGAATAGACTTCTTAAGTTTGTTTTGTGTGAGTTGCAGCATTATTTGAATTAAGGGTATTAATGAGGTCTGATTAACTGCCTCTTCCTCTTGAGTTAAGAGATGAACTAGCCTATGGCTAAAAATCTCTTTAATAAAGAAAAACAAAAAAAAAATTCTCTTGAGTCCACTCTAGAACCTACATTTCGTATTTAGATCTATAAGTGAGCTGCTGGTCTGAGTTCCTCTGGTATATTCAATTAGAAAATGTTCCTGAACATACAGTCAAACAGCACGTAATGTTCTGAACAACTTCAATGACAGTTGTCCAGCAGTGCTCCCATTTTATTTACAACAATCTAATGCCTACGAGATTGTGCCGAAGGTATGTCGACAATGTGCCGATGGATGTGCCCAAGCTGTGTAGAATATAATTCCGGCACAATGTGCTGAGTGACTTACCCCTTGTGGGACGGTGTTAAATGTTCTTCCAAAAACTACGTTGAAAATTTTCTCTGAACTGCCTCTTGAATTCATTCTGAAAAGCGTCGTAAAATACCTATATAACTTTCAGAAAAAAAATCCCTTAAAAGTTCTTCACAGTGATTTATCCCGAAAATCCCGAAGAAAATCTACTCCCGTCTAAAAGTCTCAAAATATTGTTAAGCTCCAGAATCTTGTCTAACGGCTATATCACCGACAAACCGACATGAATGATCATACAAATTACAAAGAAATATCTGATCAAAGCACAAACTGACATCTGCCGCCGTATTCGCGGAAAATATTTATCCTAGCCACGAACACGCGTACATAATTTCTGAGTTGGTTCGTGTCTGATCTATTTCGGACAAATTATTTTTATCTAGATAAAATATTTCTACACACTTAAAATGTTTCGCCGAGATTCCAACAGCCGAGTAGTTCTGCAATTTATTTTGCTGAGATTCAGTAAAACAATTGGGTTCTTTAATTTTGAAAAATGTATCGTTTTTATACATCATCTGAAAGAGCTTCGTTTTCTGAGCACAGCGATATTTTTTTCGAACCCACACTCTTTCATCTCGATTTTTAAATCAAGATTTAAAGCAAAATAATAACTTCACTGTTTGACACTAAACTAACAAACTAACAGCTCGCTTCCATACAAAGTGACACAGAGGGGCGCTAATAAGGTGATTTTTGCAAATGTTATCGTGCTTATTTAAAATAGTTCCAGAGTACCAAAATAGATGAAATTTTGGGTTTGGGTTCCATTTTTAATGCAGATTACGATTATGCATTTACCTCAATACGCTTAAAGAACCCAATTGCCGAGACTCAGCTAACAAATATCATTATGCTATGATATCAGCTAACAAACAGATGGATCATGGATGGTTATGGATTCTCGATCAACAGTTAGGTTTATGTTTCATGTCGGTTTGTCGCTGGATATAGCATAAATCCGGCTCAGAAAGGACTTAATTAATCATATTGTCTAGCAGTTTTTGGACGCCCTTCTCTCAATGATTTTAAGGAAACGAGGCAATAATTGTTGGTTTTTTTTTTTGACCTCTTTTTTCGTAGTTCTAAAAAAAATCATAATATTGCTCGGTGATACAGTAGATAGAAAGAAGATTGATGACGATTCTGAAGATTTCAAGCTGAACATTGCATTAGGTCCTAAGTAACATTGACAGAGGTAAAGGCGCAGCTACAAAGCAAGACCATGCTGGAGGTGGCTGGGTTCAATTCCCGGTCCAGTCTAAAAATTTTTCGGGTTGGAAAATTTCTCGACCTCCCTGGGCACAGAAGTATGATTGGACGATTGGACTTGCTACACAATTACATCAATGCAAAAATGGTACAGGCATCGAAAGCTCTCAATTAATAACTGTGGAAGTGCATCTAGAACACTAAGTTGAGAGCACGCAATAAGCTAATATGCGATATGCAATAAGCTTGAAATGCGAAGAAGAAGAAGAAGAAGAACATTGACAGATTCTCTTCGTCGACTTTCTCTTTGTATCCCCACGGCCATGTTAGCCATGTTAAGACATATCCAGGTATTTTCAGCACACAGATCGATAAAAGAAGCTTTAATCTTGCATCTAATACGACAAACACAACAAGAAACAGTTATGTGCTCAAGTTATTAACGAAAGAGAAATGGTTGTTACTTAGGACCTAATGCAATGTTCAGCTTGATTTCCTGCAAAAAATATTTATAATAACTATTCTGAAATAAATAAGGTATCCAATTTTGGTTAAAAATCTATAAAATTCATTTCTATACAAATTTTGCAATAATTAGGGAAGGGGTGTTAATTTTGCGTGACACAATGAATGGAGGTGCCATTTAATGCGTTTTGCCAGGCAGTCTTCTTTATATAGCTGAGAGAGTCCATCAAAGCCCCTGCCCGATCATAAGCTTCCAAGCGATTTTGTCAGCGAAAACAAACTTAAACCTGCCAGGGACAGCTCCTTGCACAGTGGAGCGAAGCCAGTCGAAATTGATACTCCATTCCGCCCCCCCTTTTTGATCCATCATACAGCAGTATGTTTTATTCAAAATAATGACGAAATTTGATCTTGCTGTTGAGTGGAGGCGCATACATATAAATTACTCCATTTACGACAGATAGAAAGGCAGTATTTCGAATTGAAAGAGCAACTCATCTCGACCGGGGCATCTAAACATTCTATATATTTCACCATTTTACATTAAAGTGATTAGGTTTATCGATTTAGGGTGATCTTTATATATTTATAATACAGGGTAATTTTATTATCTTATCGACATATATTGTACAGAATCATACCGGTGAATCAAAAGCACAAGTAAAATAAATTTCGATAAAGTTCAAAAGCAGTATAAAACAAATAACAGAAACGGCATCTTTCTAGAACTAGTAAATGTGCAGAAAATATACTCGTTCGACACATTTCAGTAGGTAAATCATTCCTCAATGGGTGAAATTATTCCAAACTATAATTCAGAACGAGGAAACAATACTTTCGGCGAACGTAATCCTTTTTTCTACTACCTTCCGGCGGATGATATCAACAAGTAGATGGAGGAATGTGTGTTCAAACTTTATCCTTGCTGTTAAGTGGGGGTGCTTAAGCATAAACTCAATTTAAAAAATCGGAATATAGTTGTCGATCTTGGCACGGTGCTTCTGGGCCACGCACTCGGCAATCCAAACAATGTTACGGCATTCCTGTTCCTTCAGCTTCAGATACGAGTAGAACACACCAAAGTGGAACTGCTGCATAAAGGCGTACACGTTCAGCTTGACTTCGTGCTCGTAGAACTTGTCCTCCAGGGTCTTGTCGCCGGGGTTATTGCCCGATCCGTCGAACAGAGCGGCGTACTCGGCGTAGTACTCGGCTACGGCCTTGACCTGTTCGTAGTCGTCAGCACGGGCCAAAGCAGCCAGTCCATCCGGGTACATGCGGCCGCAGCGGGGGTACAGCTTGGCGCGATCGTCCTTGGACAGCTCGGTGCCGAACGAGTTGATCGTGATAATGATGGCGCGACGATCGGCTTCGAACTGGAAAATTGGAAAATAATGAGCAGCCAGCATCTTTTGTTGGGAATCCATTAAGAGATACAAACCGCCAAGATCTCGCACATTACGTCGGCGGTGGTACCACCGATGTTCTTGCAGAACTCGTAGAACGCCTCCAGGTAGGCCTTGTACAGCGTGTTACGGATGATTTCGATGTTCATCTCATCCAGATCCTGCTCGGAGATGCAATCGACGAAGAACGGAGCCAACGGCGTGTCGACCAGAACGGCGTTATACAGCTCGGCCGGGGTGGCGGCCACATGGATGGCCTCCATCTGTTCGAAGCTTCCCAGCGGGTGGCACTTGGGGATCAGCTCCGAGATCGGGCGCTGGTGCAGGGTACCGGTGATCAGCAGGATGATGTTGTCGATCATGTAGCTGTAGGTGATGAAGTCCAGGAAAGTGGACAGGGGCTCCACCGCGTGGTTGCGCATGTGCTGGAATTCGATCACAAGCTTTTCGCGCAGCTTGTCGTCGATCACGGAAACCGCCAACGGGGAGGGCTCGTTGGCCAGGAACTGACCGTAGTCGGTTCCCTGCAGGTGCAATTTCAAATCTGCGGGAGATAATTGGAAGTTGTCATAATATGGTACATATATGGGGACGCTGGGAAGCCTTAATATTTGTATTAATGATGATGATGGTCCCACCTCAGGTTTGTGCTGGACGATTTATCTTTGAGATGATTAAGATAACATCTTAACCAGATTATCAAACAAAAACGGACTGGTATGTGTGGATCTTAAGATTATTAGCATTATCAACCAGACTGATCCGATATTCTTAACATCTCCTAGCATTACTATTGACTACAAATGATTTCTATCAACTTCAGAACATCTTCAGAAAAGTTCAAAATTCCTACGTGATTTGTTTGAGCTGTTGAAAAATTTCTATACTACACAATGACTACCAAGTTTCCACGACTCATTTTGACACCTGTTGAATATGTTGCCACCCTGAATTCTAAAGATCCTTTTAAATATCATTCCTCTCGTGTGGAACTGTATATGTATTTGAAATTCTATCATAATCATATTATTTTCTTCTGATGTTCGGCGAAATGACTTTACCTAATTTTGGGTCGTTGCAAACAAATTATGAGCAATCATATCATGCTTCTTGATGGACTCAAACATACAGACAGGCACATTAACTAAAATTAGTCTATGATTAATTTATTCCACCCACCATCATAACTTCAAAACAAAACGCACTTCAACAACACCATCGACTCGCCCCTCGTCGTGATTCATTGTCATCGCGTAGCCCTCGTCGCCACTTTACGTACCTTCTTTCGTGATAAGGTCATATGATCAACCAAGATGGAAAATTTCACAAAACACTCTTTTCGGTCAACATTTCCCCCTTTTCACCGTTCAAACTCCACCGCCAGAATGACCCATCCCGGATTGTAGCCCAACCCGCAGAAAATCGATTTATTTACCTTCGAGCGTTTCGCACTGGACCAGATTGAGGTAGTCGGCCTGCTTGAGGATTCCGCACTTGAACCCACGGCAGAGGCCCTCCAGATAGCCACCGTCGATGTTGAACATGAATCCTGGCATCGTTCCTTCGGTTGGTTATATTTAGTAGGATAAAGTGGGTTTTCCGTGGGACGACGATTTTCCTTCGGTGACAAAACTTTTCTTCCAGGCGAAGACGTCGAATGCGAACTCACTGCTGCTGCTGCTGCTGCTTTGCTGAGAGATGCGATTTTCTTCTCTGAAAAGTGTCATATGACTCGCTGGTGGGCCTGATCAGTGGTGGAGGTGAAATGTCCAAGTGGCATTTGCAGGTGGGGGCAGTTGATGTTGTGCTGTGACGTTCAATCTTGCTGCTCATTTTGGTGCGTGTACTAAAATCTAGCTTGGAATCGAATCAATACACTGAGGTGCGTGGTTTTAGAATGCACGGACGATGAGACTAACTCAACATTGAGCTGGATGTGTTTCAATTTTGGCTAAAGTAGATTTACTCATAATGTGCATTTTCCTGGACTTTCCTAAACAAAATCGAGGAAAATCGACGAAAATTTTACTCAGTCTAAGAGGCAAATAGACTTAAGAAATTCATAAGGCTCGACTTATGAACGACATATATGAATTTCGTAAGCGTGACTTATGATTTTTTTGGTCTAAAATGAGGTAGCTTCGGGTAGAGTCGGTATATAATGAGTCACGCCAAGAGAAAAACAGTTGAACTCGCATCACGGTTTTCAAAAGATTTCCATTCTTTTCACTTGGCAACAGAGGACTTCTACAACAACTTCAAATGACTTCTAGCGAGAGAAAAAAAAATTGCGGCTGTAGTAAATCATTATATCAGTGATTTTGTCAAATTATCTTAACAAAAAATACTCATTACTGATCATTACCGAACGTATCCCATAACAATTTAATACTCACAGCGTGTTTATGCTCATTTCTTCGATTATATGTTATATTTTATTGCAATACCTTTCATGGACCTTTCATAGCATCGTAATGTTTGTTTACTTTGCCCGATAGGTAGCCGGTTTGACAGTTCAATAGGTAGACTTGGCTTCACTCTTGGCGTGACTCATTATACACCGATTCTAGCTTCGGGTAGCTCTTGTACGCAGCGTTGCCAGATCATTTTCTGAAAAATCTGGACCAGGTATAAAATCTGGAAAAATCTGGAATGCTCAAAAAAATCCTCTTTTTAACATAATGCTATTGAAATAAAAGTGATGTGACAATCTCCAGTAAAAATAGGTCAGTTTGATCATCTGAAATTTATTTAAAGTACTAGAATGGTTATAAATTACATGTTTAAATAAATTATAAAAAGCAAATAACTTGTTAGAAATGCTAAAATTATCCAAAAGTTGAAAAGTATTGACACGGTGTGCCCAATAAGTTCAAATATCCATTACGCAGCATTTCAAAAATTGAGTTAAATGCGGGTAAAAAACAGCAGAAAATATGGTTAGAATTGTTTTTTAAACTGTAACTTTTTTACAAATAATGAAAAGCAAAAAATCAAGGAAATTTGATGGGATGAATTTTTTGAACTAATAGTCGATGTAGTCCTTAGTCCTATTAGTTCTAAATAATTCTAATATTACTCTGAGGTTGATCAGATTTACAATTTAATTCTTGACATCATACAACATACAACACCCAGCAGACCAGTAGGCAATTTTATTTTGAAGAAAAAATCACCGGGCAGTTTACCTAAACCACCTAAACTACGGGTAACTCCACTATTAGCATGACCATTTCGAACAATTTTATGCCAAAGAATAATTTTATTATATTACTAAAATGAACGTCTGATAGCTTCATTTTTGAAGTCTCAGGAACTTGCAATGATTCTAAATTCCGGAATTTATATTTTTACTGCGTCCCAGATCATGAATTGTTTTGTTAGTCTGAATTTACTTGGAACTCTTCACAGGATATCTTCGCCTTTTTTGTTTTAGTTCAATTCGAATCATCCTTGAATTCCATCATATTTCTTTTCTATATTCCCCTAAAATAATCTTGAAAATATCTAAACTTTTCCAGTAACATTCTTAACAATTTCCTTGGTACACTCTTCAGAATGACCGTCACACTCTTCTCAGACCTATCCGATAATTCCAACATGGCTGAATCATGAATTTGACACATTAGAACACCTATATGTAGCCACCTTGGTGCCAATCACCGACGGACATCGATTGATCAGTTCACGAAGATTTGCCGCACTCTTCTCTCACCCGTAAGTTTTGACAGTTTTGGGTGGTTTGTTTTGGCTCCCATTCGTTGCTATCTCTTTTACTCAGAAGCAAAATGATAGGGAGCAAAAAGTGAGGTTAGGGACCGTGCACTGATCTATTACCATCCATTGACGGCAATCGAATGTGCAGGAAGGCAGCTTCCACACCTGCGTAGGATATCGCACCCATTCAACACACATGGGCCGGGACCAACGACTTTACTTCCCTTCCGAAGGAAGACGTGACCAGAGATTTTTATGCCTCAGAAAAATCCCACCGACCTCGGCTGGGATTGAACCCAGACCCATCGGGGTGTTAGAAAGCAGTCACGCTTACCACTACACTTCCGGCACCGGCAGAGATGAGGGTCAGACAAATGGTTTCTCAGCTTTGTAATTGATGAATCTACGTTACGGTCGGCCACACGAAACGAAAATCAATTATTTTATCCATGTGTTTCCCTTTTACATTTTTGCCAAAACATCAGCCTTATACATTCCATAAGACAAACTACATAGGTCCTATAAGAATGCATAAAAGGTATGTGTGACCGCTTATACATTTCATTTGACACATGATCTTCATTAGCTTTATGCAAGGCGTCTGCTTATTAGTTGACTTATACATTTTATGAATAATCAGCAATAGAAATTTGTCAAAAGGTATTGATCAGTTCACGAAGATTTGCCGCACTCTTCTCTCACCCGTAAGTTTTGACAGTTTTGGGTGGTTTGTTTTGGCTCCCATTCGTTGCTATCTCTTTTACTCAGAAGCATAATGATAGGGAGCAAAAAGTGAGGTTAGGGACCGTGCACTGATCTATACGGAGATTTCTATCCGTGCAGCAGATGGAAATGATGTAAAAATGATAATGACGTTTTGCTAGCTGTCAAATCGTATGGAATATTTTTTAGTACATCATCACTTTTGTGGTTTTGGATTTCAAACCTAGGTGTCGCATGCACTGGTGCAGTTTCGCCACAGAGAACAGACGTTCAAGCTCGGTCAGAAACTTGTGTAAAATAAGTGGGAACGTCGCCGTTACGTGGTGTTAGCATCTCCTGATTTTCTCTATAAATTTTCCGTTTTCGACCAATTTGGCGCTAGTATCGATAAATTTTCTGTTGAAAATTGTCACTTGGCGCTACTAGCACTTAGTGTCTAGTGTAATTTGTGCAACGCCAGCGCCATCATGTTGTCAAAGAGGGTTTTTAAGTGGGGAAGTCGCTGTTAGTGGCGCTTAAGTCAAATAGGAATCTTTACACAAGTTTTTAGAGAAATTTTGTTCGAGCCTCCATGTCTGTTCTCTGTGGTTTCGCGTAGATTCATCAATTGACCATTTTGTTAGGTTTCTGTATTCATTTTCCCTCAGATGTCACTGCTGTTGTTTGCGGTGACATCCAACGCAAACCACAGAGAACAGACATTGAGGCTCGAGCAAAATTTCTCTAAAAACTTGTGTAAAGATTCCTATTTGACTTAAGCGCCACAAACGGCGACTTCCCCACTTAAAACCCCTCTGACAACCTGATGGCCCTGGCGTTGCACAACTTACACTAGACACTAAGTGCTGGTAGCGCCAAGTGGCAATTTTCAATAGAAAATGTATCGATACTAGCACCAAATCGGTCAAAAGTGGAAAAATTATAGAGGAAACCAGGAGATGCTAGCGCCACGTAACGGCGATGTTCCCACTTATTTTTACACAAGTTTCTGACCGAAGTTGGACATCTGTTCTCTGTAGTGAAAGGATGTTGCTCGTGGACATTGCAGAATTGTTGTTTGCATCTCACTGCAGTCTGAAATATTATCGAGAAAATCTGCTAATTAATCATGTTTTGTTGTTTTTGACATCATCCACATCCAGAGGGCCAGTCACTTCGAATGTATGGGAATGGTAGGAAACCATTTGGAAATGCATGAAAATTTTCAGTTTTTATTCATTATCGTCTTTATGGACAGTTTTAGATGCACAAAAATTGCACGAGTACATTACTATGGTGATAAGGTAAACACTCGTTTATTTGTTTCCTTCTGTGAAAGCATGTTTAGTCACAAATCGTGGATTTTCTGATATTCTCCATACTGCAAAAATGATTTTCCTACCACTGAAGGGGCGAAATCTCTCGGATCTTCAGAATAGCTACTACTCAAATCGTATAATTAATTAATTTCAATGAAATTGCTGAAATTATAAAGGAGTTCCGAGAAACTTCAGCAATGTCCTGAGGGGCTCATGCAAATTTAGGAAACCGAAGGGAAGTTATATGAACAGTAGAACATTGCGAGAACATTTTATGGGAAGTTCTATGCTTTTTTAATGGCAGTGTCGATAACTTTTAAAAATAAAACAAAATCGGGAAGATCAGAGAGCTTCAATGCTGATGTTACAATAAATTCGAGAAATTTGTGAGAGCACTTAAGAAATTTCATAATCTTCAAGAAAGTCCAGAGACTTTCAAAGAAGATTAGAGATATTCCGGTAGTCACAGTCCCTAATTTCAGGAAAATTACAAGAACTTTTAAGGAATTTCGAGGAATTATGGAAGTCTCTTAAGTGCATTTCAGAAATGTTCCGAAAACTTGAGGGAAATTGCGGAGTCTTCAGGGATGTTTTATGAATTATGTATTTGTTTCTTTCAACTGTTCTGTAAGCCTTTCTTCAGATGTTTCTTCCAATCTACCTTAGGAAGTTTCTGTCAGCGTCTCTAGGAATTTTCTTTCGTCTTCTCCAGAAAGTTTAATTAATTCTCCCAGAAATTTCTTTCGTCTTCTTCTGGAAGTTTGACCATAAGCCAAAGGTTTTTTCGTTCGACTATTGGAAGGTTTTTTTGAGCTTCTTCTGGCTTTTCCTGGAAATGGCTACTTTTGAAAATTTACTTCCGATTTCCGAAACTTTTCTGGCTTCCTTAGAATGTGACATCCGATTTTTTTCCGAAAGTTTATTTAAATTTTCACCACAAGTTTCTCAATTCATGTCTTGGAAGTTTCGCGGATGTTTTTCTAACT